CTCCTTACTATAATGACTCAGACTATTCAAATTACCAGCAGATCTGTAATCTGCTTTTTATCGTATTTTACTCCTTCAGTTTTAGAGAAGAAAGAATCTGTCTTTTAAATTAGAATCACAAAAGGCCGCTGGCCTCTGAATCCAACCTGATAACCAGACTCATAGTCCGGGCAGCCAGCTGTAGGACAACTGAATGTCAACAACAAAAGGAATAAAATTGGCACTGAAGAGATTGTTTTGGTACAAAACCACAGGCAAGCTTAAGGCAATAATTCAGTCAAGTCCCTTCTATCACTGGCAGCTTTGGCTCCTCCAGCTTCCAAATGTTGATGGACTGCAGCTCCCTGCCAGGATAGGTTACGCAATTTCTTAAGAATTTAAGACACAACATCCACGGAGTTCAAGATTCTGGACCCCTAGTTCTTAAAAACCTCTCCCTGTGTTCATGCAACATGTTTGTCATGGTTGATGGAATTAACATTAAACAATAGCCTGAATTGTAAGCCAAAAAAAAAGGCACCAAGTATGCACAATGCATTTAAGTTTAAAATGCTGGTGGCCAGCTGTATATAGTTTACATTATTGAGTGTACACAGCTGAAGTCTTTGCTCCTTCTAACCAATCTCCCTCCGTTTAGAGGAGCTAACTTGCTGTGTTTTTGGAAGCACATTGCCTGTCTGTTCTCTTGTTAGTTGTCCAATTCTGTGCAAAAATCAGGCAGAGGAGATATTAAAGGGGTGGGTTCTAACATGGCAAAGTTTGAATAAATAATTATCAAACACTAAACAACAGAAAGGCGCTTAAACAGTAAATTACCGGGTAAGGTTTTAAGGAAGTATCTTCCTGAACTCATCAGGATGTGTGTGACAGAGAATGTATAAAATGTTCCACGCTGGTTGCAAAACTGAAAGTTAGGTTTTTTTTAAAAGCACTGGGCAGGTCATGTACATGTCTATATAGCGAATGTCAAAAAGATATAAAACTCGAGTGGGTTAAGAGAAGAGCTGTTGAATAACTAGTGTGAAAACCAAGCTCTTTGAGGTATGGTTAGAAGAGCTGGACGTATTAATTTTCCAAAAGAGGCTGAACAGGAGATATAGTGGTCTATAAATATCTAGAAGGTGGTGGAGTGCAAGAGAGGGAAGGCAGGCCTCTGTCAAAACTGAGGGCAGGATAAGGACCCATTAGGTTGAACATAAAAGGAAGAAGCTTGAGGCTGAACATCTGGAAGAATTTCTTGAAAATAAGAGGTGATGATGATTGCCCACTCATGAAGATTTTGAACAGGACTTGGGTGATCATTTAATAGAGGTGCTTTAGTAGATCCCTGCACTAAGAGGTTGGCCTACATGACTGCTGAAGTCATTTCAACATTCAGTGTGTGACTCTGTCCATCTTTCTATATTGACGAAAGAATCGGTACAGGTAGTCCTTGACTTATAGCGACAATTGGGACCAGAATTTCTATTGCTTAGCAAGTTGGTTAAGTGAGTCATGCCTGGTTTTACGTCCTTTTTGTCATAGTTAAGCGAACCCCTGCCATTGTTAAGTGACTCATGTGGTTGTTAAGTGAAACTGTCTTCCTGCATTGATTTTTGCTTGTTGGAAGCTGTTTGGTATAATAATCACATGATCCCAGATCACTGCATCTGTCATAAATATTGCCAGGGCCCAAATTTTGATAACATGACTGTGGGGATGCTGTGACAGTTTAAGTGTGAGAGTCACCCTTTTCAGTGCCACTGTAACTCTGATCACTAAATGAATGGTTTTAAATTGAGGATTACCTATCAAACTTATCAATTCTAAAGAACAGTATAAAAGTTTAAAACTGCATAGAATACTTATGTAGTTATCTTCCCTTTTTTAAATAAAATTAGCTCATTTTCTTGGTTTTTGCTACATAATGAACCAACAATTTGTCAAGTCAAACAACAACCTAGCTTAAATGTGATTGATGATTTAGGTCAGTGGGTTGTGGCAACACAGACTACTATAGTTAGTCTTTAAAGTCAAACACCAACACAAGACTAACTTGATAAACAACCATTCTGGCATAAAACAGACCTCAATTTCTTATTCTGAGTTTTCCCACTATTTTAAATATCTGCATCTGGACTCCAACTCCCAGAATTTCCCAGCCTTCATGGCTGGGGAATCCTGGGACTTGAAATCCAGACAATCAAGTTGCTAAGGTTCAGAGATAGAATTGAAACAGGACTGAAGTAATTTTCCAAATACATCTGTGTTTTTTGGCACATTTCTTAAAGGACAAGGTTGACTGGAACTAGTAACTTAAAAATTGCTATTCTGAGCCAAATTGTTGGGGAAGCTTCCATAGAGACTGTTGTCATCCATTTTTTTTACTGCAGCTTCTCATTTGGACTGGGAATAAGACTCAGGAAAGGCATCTGAAAAGTCAAATGCAGAAATTCCCAGTGCCAGGAATTTGACAGCCAGCAACAGATGGGAGTTCTTTAGCTTAGAAAAAGATATGAGGAAGTATCATTCAAGTTTATGAAATTATAACTGATAGATAAAGAATGGGCAAGTTTTTCTGTCTTCCATACTACAACTAGAGACCACTCAACAAAACTGGCAAGCAAATTTAAAATTGAGGCAATTGAGTTGCAGAATATAGATAGTCCTCAAGTTACAACAGCACTGAAAAGTGACTTATGACTGGCCTTCGCTTACAGCCCTAGTCACATGATCAAAATCCAGTTGCTTGGCAAATGGCACGTATTTACAATGGTTACCACATCCCAGGGTCATGTGGCCATCATTTGCATTTGGACTACGAAAGTCAATGGGAGAAGCCAGATTTGTTTAACAAGGGCAATGATACACTCAACTATGAAAATAAAGTTGTAAAATTGGGCATACCTCGCTTATCTGCCTTGCTTAGCAATAGAAATTCTTGTCCCAATTGTGATAAGTCGAGGACTACCCGTATGCTGCCAAAACTATGGTGTCAGCTGCTAATTTAGATGACTTTAAAAAGGGACTAAATAAATGCCTAGAGGACAAAAATATCGATAGCTATCAGGAATAAGATTGGTTGCTTCTCCAACCACAGTAGTCTACCTCTCAGCACCAAGAGCATGGGAATAAGATTGGAAAAAGGTTGCCTTGAACCTTCTTTATTTGTGGTCTTCCTAAATCTATCTGATGTACCGCCACACGAAAAGAGAAATGTTGTCTAGATTGGTTTAGGTGTGATTCCCTTCAGATATTTTAACTATCTTTCAGAAATAGGCAAACAGATTTACTGAATGATTTTCATAACTACTGATTAACCTCCCAGGCAAGTGGATGCTGAAGACAGGCAGCTGCAATTGTTTCAACTATTCCCAATGCAGAACTGATGGAATCACTTCTCTTCTAATGGATACACTAGAGCAGGGGTCAGGGGTCCCGCACCCCTGGTCTGTGGACCTGTACCAGGCCGCAGCATGCCAGCAACCAGTCCGCACAAACAAGCAGTCCCATCTGTGGGATGCAGGCAGCACACAAAAGCATGCACCCTCCGATCCGTGGAAAAATCTTTCTCCACAGAACTAGTCCCTGATGCCCAAAAGGTTGAGGACCTCTGCACTAGAGCTAAGAACCTGGAATATAACTCCTTATTCTAAGTTACCTTCTGACATATTAGTCAAAGCTGACAAAGAGCTAAAATCCAGCAGCATCTGGAGAGCCACTAATTTTTCAATAGGATGTAAAAAAAAATCGAATTAAACAAAAGAGTACCTCTCCAATTTCATTTTGGAAAGACACAAGCAGAAAACATACAAGCTGGGAACTTGGCCCTCCAACATTGCTGAATTAAAGCACTTGGCTTCCCTAATTGGCTTTGCTGGTGGATTTCTGGGAATTATCACTCATCTTCATCATCATGAGAGCTGATGCTGTTTCCACGTAAGATACCATATCCTGCTAAAAGTGTCTGGGAAATCTCACTTTCCTTTGACCTCATTTCAGCAGCTAATCTCCCACACCTCCCAAAACATTAACATAAGTTAAAAAAAGGTACTCCGAACTAACTTAGAAATAAGTAACTTGGAATAATGGACATGTCTCTATAAGAATATAAGTGACTAAACCCTGTGAGTGACCAACACAAAGTAACCATGAATGCCCCCCCCCCCAACAAACCCTGTATCCTCCAGATAGATTGGGACTATTAATCCCAAAATTCCTAGTCCACCAGAACGTCTTGTTATAGCATCAATACAAGCTGGAAAAAAACTGCCCAAAATACACCTTCCTGTTCCTCAGAGATGCACCAGAGGGCACTCACGATGCACATTTTGGGGATCAGCTGCCTCAAGGGAGTAAGAGCCCAAAGTGAACCCCACCCATCCCCCAAAAAACAGGCAAGACATTTTTTTTTCATCTCCTGCACAGGATTTTACTGCACTGTGGAATGTGATGATATATCAAGGGTGGGAGAGAGAAAAAAAAGAGAAGGAACATAAGAATCCCTCTCTTCAAAACAAGAATTGAGCAGGAGCCAATATTAACATAAATATGGTAGGGAGACAAGGAAATACTGCCATGGGAAGAGGAAAGAGAACGAAGCCTGTCTGGGCAAAGTTCAGTCCAAAGTCTATGGCAAATCCCAAGGACTGAGTTTGGTGGCTAGCTGGAGAGGAGCCAGTCTAGGCTTTCCAACCACACCACCTCTGAGATCCTGTCACTTAAAAAAAAAAAAATCCATAAAGGAAGGGTATCCAGAGTTCAAAGGCACAAGACTAGAGATGCCCGCCCCCTCTCAGACCCCGGTTCTTTCCTCCCTTTGTAGTCCCAGTAGCTTCCCAGTAGGAAGTCCCAGTAGCAATACTATAATGCGTCCACATGCTGTTGCACCCAGCATCGGAGGGCCATGAAGAGGCTTCCCGAGTGTCCTTTTCCTTTCCCTCGACTCGTATCAAGTTCCTGTCCAATGCGAGAGTGGCGGGGGGGGGGAAGGGATAGCCCGCCAAAAGGCACCAAGGCAGTTCGCAGGTTGCACTTCGGGATGGAAGCGGAGGGGCGCGCTTGGTGAAGATGGGGCCCCCTCTGGCGGGTCATCGAGGCGCGTCGGCGGAGGGCCTCGGGTCCCCGAGTAGCGAGCTAACTCCTTCCCTGCCGAGGGGCCCTTCAGTAGGCCGGGACCTGGTGGGGCGGCTGCTGCTGCTGCTGCGGTAGGAGCTGGCAGCCGCTGTTGACGTGGCTGAGCACTTTCTGCTTGAGCTGCGCCACCTGCTCCCGGAGGAGGTTGGCCGTCGAGGCCAGTTCGGTGTTCTGGGTCTTGAGGCTCTTGACTTTTTCTTCCAGGCGGGAGATGCGCTCCAGCTTCCGCCGCCGACACTTGGAGGCGGCGATGCGGTTGCGCAGCCGCTTGCGCTCGGCCTTGATGCGCTCCTGCGTGTCCATGTCGATGGGCGACAGCGGCGGGCTGTCGCCGAAGTTCGCCACCTCCGGCACGATCTGAGGCTCGTCCTTGAGCGAGGGGGGCGGCTGCAGCCGAGGGTGCGCCTGGTAAGCTCCCTCGGACGAAAAGCTGGCTGCGCTGGAGAACGTGCTTAGGTTGGCGTACACCGGAGGCTCGGCGGACGGCGGCAGGGGGGGCTGCTGTTGCTGCTGCTGCTGCTGGGCCAGGCTGGCTGCTGGCGGCAGCTCCCCGCCAACCGGGCCCGCGCCCCCCAGCTGGTTCTGGTTGTGCAGGTCCTCCAAGGCTTTCACAAAGCCCGCAGCAAACTCCTGCTCGTCGGGGGCGCCGCCTCCGCCGCCGCCTTTGGGAAAGTGGAACTGGGTGCCGCCGCTGGTCGGCGTCGTCGTCACCAAGCCGTTCGACTGGATGATCAGGCGCTCCAGCTCCGGTGAGGCCAACTTAAGAAGGCCCAGATCTGGGGAAGTCAGAAGCGTCTGGTTTTCCCCTGGCGGCGGCGGCGGCGGCTGGTGCTGCTGCGCGGAAGGGGCATTGGCGGCATGGCCCGAGGGCGCCTTCAGGCCAGACACCACCTGATCGCTCAATGCCAAGACTAAGCCGTCTTTTTTCATCATGGTGCCGTCGAAAAGAGGCTGGTGGAGGCCGGTGCCGCTTCGAAAGGAAGGCGCTGTCGTCGATGCTGCCAGAGCAATCAACACATCGTCATGGTAGAAAGGTATTTCCATCCTCTTCCCCCCCGCAGGCTGCGGAGGGGAGGTAGCCACCTATGGTCACCACGGCGAAGCGCTCGGGTATGTGGGACAGGGGAGGGCCCCCAGTTGCGCGCCCGACGTGAGGAGGAGGAGCGTCAGGCTTCTTCCCGGGCAGCGCTTTGTTAGACTACGACGCCGAGAGGCAAACCTCACCGCCTTTCTTCCGCACGGCTTCAAGACGCTCGCCTTCCTCGGGGAGGTCACTTTATACCTTCCGCCGGCCCGATGAGCTCACCGTACCCGCCTCCCATTGGCTGCAGATGACGTCTGGGATAGCTCTTTTGCATTGAGGGCGGGGCCTATGTGGAACTGCGTCGAGCCGCCGCCTTCCCCCACGCACACTTTTCTTTTTCTCTCTCTCTCTCTCTCTCCTTCTCTCTCTCTCTTTTTTCCCCGTCTCTCCTGGCAGGCCCGTCTCCGAGGCGACCGGCTCCGTAAACTGCATACAACAGCGCGCGGCCTCTTGGGCTGATGTCACCACGAGGCCGGCCACGCACGCGGCGCTTGGTTCGAGGTGGGGAAAGAGGAGGAGGAGCTTGTGGAATGATTCTGCTCCTCGGCCCCGTTGGAAAGTTAATTTTGCAAGCTCGATGCAGATCAACTTTCTTGCAGCTGCACGAGCAGAGGAAGAGAAGGGAGAGAAAAAAGGTTCCCTGCCCCGAGGGGCTTGCAAACCGAAACTATGACCGTAGAGAATAGAAAAGAGTAACCGCCGAAGGCACAGTCTCTCCCGTGGGATGTTTGAACTGCTAACATTTATTCAAATCACGAGTGCTGATTCTCCCCTATTTTGCACATGGGGTGTTTTTTTGCCTTATAACTCCTAGCCCTTTTTTTTTTGTACAATTATCAGATCAGAATGATTCAATTTCCTTGAATAATTGGATTTTGTTACAGGGAGTCTTTGACTTAGGACCATTGGTTTAGTGATATTCAAAATTAAGATGTCTGAAAATATGGATTTATGACCAGTCCTCACAGGGCTACCACAGCATCCCTGTGTTCATGGGGTGCTTGGCAACTGGCATGCATTTACAATGGTTGTCACATAATTACCATTTGCAACCCTCCCAACCAGAATCTGCCAAGCAGAGTCAATGGGGGAAACAGGAATCACTTAATAACCGTAGCAAAAAGATAAAATTGGATGCAACTTAATGACTGCCTCACTTAACAACAAAAGTTCCAGTCCTAATTTTGATCATCATCCTGTAAAATTAGGCAGACTTTGATCGGCCACCAATGAACCCCCCCCCCATGAATTGTAATATTTTATCTTGTTTGTACTTTGCTTTCATTTTTAATGTGTGTTTGCAGTTCTGGTCAGGGGCCATAATAATTCTTTCACTGTGAGTAGCTTGGAGCATACTGACTGGAGAAATGCCAAATATAATTTTGCAAAACAAAATAAGAAGGAAGGGCGGTGGAGGAATATCTGAAGCAACAGAGGGAAGGCACCAAGGATGCATGTGGGTTAAGGCCATACTGCAACCTTTCCCCTTCTACTGCCCTTCTCAACCTGCTGACTAGGAATTACAATAGTCCAGGTTGTCTTTGGGGAGAAAATAAGAGGAAGAAGTATTAGGTATGTTCACAGCCTTGAATTATTTATAAAAATAACAAAGGTGGGATAAAAATAAACAAATGGTTGAACCAAAAAGGACTAATCATGGAAAGTTGTGGTGGGAATAATGGTGTCTGTGTACTAATACTGCCCAATTTATGACATGCTGTGGAGCACTAATCTATCTTGTGAGATAATTGATATGTATAAGCCAGCCTAATCCAAATGAACTCTGGATGACATACATATTTTGTTTGTTTGTTTATATCTGCCTTTATTTTACAATAACTCAAAGTGGTGAACGTCGAACACACCTTCCTTCTCCTATTTTCCCCACAACAACCCTGTAAGGCACAGGTGTCAAACTCACGATGTCACATGAAGTGTTGCGACGTATTGCGACTTTTTTCCCATTACTGGCAATGGGGTGGGCATGGTTTTGGGGTGACGCATCCGGCCCTTGGACCCGCAGTTTGACACCCCTGCTGTAAGGTGAGTTGGGCTGAGAGAGAGAGACAGACTGAACCAGTCACCCAGCCGGCTTTCTTGGCCAAGGCAGAACTTTGAACTCATTTGAACTTTCTAGCCTGGTGCCTTAACCTCTAGACCAAACACAATTTGCAATATTCAGTAAAATGCACAACCACATAAGTAATAAAAGGGTCAAAAATGGTCAACATGGAAATTGTGAACACCATTTTCAATTTTTTGATATCCCTAACACTTGGCTCCAGTGATAGTCATCAAAACGTGCTACATCCCACCAGCTGCTGCTTAAACTGTAAGTTTTGGGAGAATCCACCAGGAAAGTAGCGGCCCGCGCGCCTAACGGCGCGCGAATTATATAATTAGATAACTAAAAATCACAAACAGTAGCAGTACATTCAGGGCAAGTGTGTCTGACATCCCCTGTATCTAAGATGTCCGGCTTAGTTCAGTGCAACACCTGCTTTGCAGCTGTTTTTCGCAGTACCCTTTTCAAACTTGGAAACTGTCCTATCTGTAAACAAATCACTAGCCTACAAGGACAGATCATTTACCTAGGGTCTGTAATCCGTGCTCTTCGGGCAGAAATTAGGTGTCCAGTTCAGCCCCTCTACTCTAGTAAGCCTCCCTGCTATCAGCCCCCTTTACCACAAAGATCCTGCAGGAAAAGGGCAGTGTGGACAACCGTGGGATCTGGCAGGGTGAGAGCTGTGAACCATAAACACAAAGCTTTCGCTGTGTCCCTGCACAACAGCTACAGTGCCCTTGCTGACCTTAATAGGGACATTAAGGAGACTGGTAAAGGTATTTGTGAAGATAACTCAAATAAGCAGGGGATTGTGGTCCGAGATGAAGAACTAGATTTTGACAGGGAGAAGTGTGAATCAGGTATTGCACATCAGTCATGCAAGAATAGAAAGGCTCCCAAAAAGAGAAGCTACCTTCTGGTAGGTGATTCAATTATAAGGGATGTAAATTTAGGAAAGGACACAGAGGCTTTGAAAGAGATCAGGTGTCTTCCAGGTGCTACTGCCAGTAGGGACAAGAAGCGTATTTCTAAAATAATCAAGAATGGCAGCAAGGACTGTGATGTGGAGGCTATTGTACATCTTGGCACTAATGATCTGTCCCAAAAAGATGTACTCTCTGTGCAGAATGATTTCCAGAGCTTGGGGAAGGAACTTAGCAGAATAGGCTGTAGGCTTACTTTCTCAGAGGTTTTACCAGTGTATAAGGAGCAAAACGGAAAAGGCCAGCGCATAGCACAATTCAATATGTGGCTAAAGGAGTGGTGTAAAGGGGAAGGCTTCGGATATATTAGTCACGATGTCAGTAGCTGGTCCAATCAAAAGATGTACAAAAGAGATGGTTTGCATCCATCAAAAAAAGGGACTGAGTTACTCGGCTATAAATTCACAGATTTTCTGGAGGGAAATTTAAACTAAACAGCGGGGACAGGGAGTTAATTGATACGGAACAACCCTGTCCCCGGCAATTTAAAAACTATAGGGCTATCAGTGCATGTAGCATAGATGTGTGTGTGGACAAGAATACCAACCTTGCTACCAATCAAAATGAAGCCTCTAATAGCGAGTGCCACATAAAGTGCACTAACCAAATAGGTGGTAAGACAATAGGGGAACTCAGGCACCACACAGGTTATGTAGAAAGGAAACACAGGGCCACCCACAAAGGACTCAAATGTTTATACACCAATGCACAGAGTATGAACAGCAAACAGGGTGAACTAGAAATTCAGGTTAACGAGGGCAGATACGATATTGTTGCCATTACGGAAACATGGTGGGATGAAACTCACACATGGAACACACAGCTAGAGGGATTTAAATTATTTAAAAGAAACAGACCAAATAAAAGAGGAGGTGGAGTTGCTCTCTATATAAGAAATAACTACATCTCCACAGAAATAGAGTACAACAATGATAAAAACTCTCTTGAATGCATTTGGGTCAATATAAAAGGGGGGGGAAATGACATTGCCATAGGTGTATACTACAGACCACCCAACCAAACAGAGGAAATAGATGAACTTTTTGCTAGTCAGCTAACTAAGGTATGTAGGAAGCACACCACAATAGTAATGGGGGACTTTAACTACCCTGACATCAACTGGGAGACAAACTCCGCACCAAGTGGAAGATCAAACAGGTTCCTGGCAAACCTAGCAGACAACTTTGTTTCCCAAAAAGTAGAGAAGGGAACTAGGGGATTAGCCATTTTGGATCTAATTCTCACTAACAGAGATGAAATGATAGACGGTGTTGAAGCCATAGGAACCCTGGGAGGAAGTGATCATGCAATATTAGAATTCAACATTATAGAAGCACAACCAATAGAACACAGTCAAACTAGAGTCTTGGACTTCAAGAGAGCTAATTTCAATAAACTTAGAGAGGGCTTGGGAAGGATTCCATGGATGAGAATCCTCAAGGGGAAAACAACTCAAGAAGCTTGGGAAATTTTGAAAAATGAGATAATAAAAGCACAGTCTAGCACAATACCAACAAAGAGGAAAAATAACAGCTCTCAAAAGAAACCAGCATGGCTGCATAAAGAACTCTCTGACAAATTGAAAGATAAAAAGGACAAGTACAGAAAGTGGAAAGAGGGGAACATAACTAAGTCAGAATATCAGCAAATAGCCCGAGCCTGCAAAGATGAAGTGAAGAAAGCCAAGGCTCAAAATGAACTAAGGCTTGCACCAAAGTCAAAAATAACAAAAAAAGCTTCTTTCAACATGTAAAAAACAAGAAAAAAGTGAAGGAAATGATTGGTCCATTAGTGGGTGGAAGTGGCAAGAAGGTGACAAGCAACAGGGAGAAAGCAGAACTATTTAACTCATTTTTTGCATCTGTCTTTACACAAAGGGAAAAAACAGACCAACCTATCAAAAATAGTGCCATAAAAAACAAAACAGAAACACAAGTTAAGATAGGCAAGAAAATGGTTAGTGAGCACCTGTCCAGCCTAGATGAGTTCAAATCGCCAGGACCAGATGGATTACACCCCAGAGTTCTCAAGGAACTGGCAGATGTGATATCGGAGCCACTGAACTATATTTTTCAAAGATCCTGGAACACAGGGGAACTACCAGAGGACTGGAAAAGAGCTGATGTAGTTCCCATCCTCAAAAAAGGAAAAAAAATGGATCCAGGAAATTACAGACCTATCAGCCTGACCTCAATACCTGGGAAGATCCTGGAAAAGATAATCAAACAACGAATCAACGAACACCTAGAGGCAAACAAAGTCATTACTAAAAGCCAACATGGGTTTGTCAAAAATAGATCATGCCAGACAAATCTTATTGCATTCTTTG